CTTTCTATCTTCTAGGGAATATTTTCATTGTGATATCAAGTTGTAATTGAGCCCATGACCTCAGGAGTACCCTAAAAAAATGAACATTTCATGTCCCCTCTCCAGCCATTTCATTTTAGGTGAAGAAGATGTGGAAGCAGAATACCTCAAATGAATTTGACTTTACTTGTCCGTTTTCATCCCTTCCTCCCTGATCGAATCAACCCGAAGAAAAATAGGATAAAGCTGAGCTCCTAACTTCTATCACAACTTGGTTTTTGCTCTCAAGTACTCCTAAGCCCGGCCTCTTCTTTCCCGTTCATATGAAAAAGACTAGCTATGCTAATCTCGTTGGCCACTCGAACTGATTCTTTTTTTTGGAAAATCACCTCAAAACCTGAATTTAAAGATTACATTTCAAAAAAAAAGGGGATTAAGTTTTTTTTTTTCACAAATCAGGTGGTAAATAAGATTAGTTAAAATAATAAATTAAATTACCACCCAACCCCACCCAATAAAACGCAACGCACCCCCAATCCAAAATCCCTAAATCATTTTACCCTCTCTCTCATTCTCCATTACCAACGCTCACTCTACCCTCTCTCTTCCAGTTGCACAACAAGGTGCTACTACTGCTGGGAGCAGTGGTGCCTTGATTCACAGTCGTCGATCGTGTCCACCGCGTGCAACGGAGCAGCATCTGTGCGAGGCTTCACTGTATCTGCGCACAACGACGACAAGCAGCGGTGGAGGTTCTGGTGGATATGGATCGAGCGTAGTGGTGCCACCGGGTTGGAGGGGTTAATGATGCTCGTCACGTCGTCGCCATCAACGTCGCTGCTGCAAGCAATTGTCAATCGCGCCACTTCAACTCGCTACTGCTTCAACACGACGTTGGTGATACTATTGTTGGTGCAGATCTGCGGGTTGGTGATGCGGATTTTAGATTTGGGTGAGATGGCGATGCGATGTCAAGTTGTAGGATGGTGGTAGTTGAGAGAATCTGTAAAATTTTGGTATATGGGTTGTGGTGTGGTTATGGTGGCAAGTTGGTGGCTTGGAGGAGGTGGTGGCAATGGTAGTGCTATAGGTTGTGGTGGTTTCGCAGTTGGTGCTGGTGGGTTAAGATTGTAGTTGGCCGAATTTGGTAGGAAGAGGTGGTTGATGGCCGGCAATGTGCAGTGGTAGGCTTGAATGTTGGTCGACCTTTGGAGCTTCAGCAGCCACTCCACCCACATACCCCCGATTTTGAAATCCCTAAATCACCTGTTTTCTCTCTCTCACTCAATCTCTCTGTTCTCTCTCAATAAGTCTTGTTGCACCCACCCAACTTTAGCCACAAACAATGGTGGCTGGTGGATGAAGGGAAGAGATTTCGCCCAAATATGTGTTGATTGTGACTGGTT